CCCGACCCCCCGGGGACTCACTCAAAAAGTGGCGGCGGTTGCGTTCATGGCAACACCCAAGGAAAGCGAGGTCTCGTTTGGATCCCCGTGGCAGCGCATGCCTCTGGATCCCCCGGAAGTTCGCCAAAGCGGCGACGAGAGCAGTGGGGGGAGCAGAGGGGTGGAGGAGTGGTCAAGAAGGAACACCCGTGCTCTATTCGAAGCGAGTTCCCGACACAGGGAGACATGGTGGGAGGCAGATGCGTATTGGTAACACTTGGCGTGCGCACGGGAGGGAAGAAGGGGAGGGGGAGGGGGGACATGCCGACGCAGACACGCAGCAAGCAGACAAGGCGAGAGCGTGGCCGTGGGCTGAAGTAGCTGGAGACCACCGTGAGGCGCGTGCCAAAACGTCGCATTGAGAAGATGCCTTGTTGACCAGTTCCGGCCCCCCTTCTGATCAGTTTTCGGTTTTTGAAGTATTGCTGTAAAAGCTGGCGCGGCTTTCAATTTCAACTTGGCGTGCTACGCCACGCTATGTTGTGCTAGGCTGTGTTGTGCCATACTTTGGTGTGTCGTCCTTTTCGCGTGTCACCGTCTGCTGGGGGGAGGGGCGCAGGACGGATAGCAGGATGTGCTACACCCATGTGAGCTAATCCAGAGCCCGACGATACCCCAACCCTGCTCTCATTGTCCTCTCCCGTCCATGCCTCCGAGGACGGGGAGAACTATCGGGCAGTGCCCACGGGAGTCGCCGATCAGGGTCTCACAACCTCTCTGCAGGAATCGGTGACCGATGAAGCTTTTGATGAGGTAGGATGGGGGCTTCTGGGTTTTTTACCTAACAGCGAAGACTGATAGGTTTCTAGTGGGGTCAAAAGAGAGCATCTTGACTCCCCAGGGGGGTCTGGGCGGATGCCGGGGGAATCCGGGGGATCCGGGGACTCCCCGGAGCCATATCCCAGGCCACATGTTGATTGCCCGGAGCCAACAGAACACCATTCCCAGGCCCATATTTTGAATGCCCGGAGCCAACTGTAGGCCACTTCGTGTTCTTCGTGTTCCCAGAACACCATTCCCAGGCCACATTTTGAATGCCCGGAGCCAATTGTAGGCCACTTCGTGTTCTTCGTCTTCCCAGAACACCACTCCCAGGCCACATTTTGAATGCCCGGAGCCAACTGTAGGCCACTTCGTGTTCTTCGTGTTCCCAGAACACCATTCACAGCCCACATTTTCAATGCCCGGAGCCAATTGTAGGCCACTTCGTGTTCTTCGTGTTCCCATAACACCATTCCTGTACCATATGTTGATTGCCCGGGGCCAATTGTGGGCCACTTCGTGATCTTCGTGTTCCCAGAACACCATTCCTGTACCATATGTTGATTGCCCAGGGCCAATTGTGGGCCACTTCGTGATCTTCGTGTTCCCAGAACACCAGTCCTGTGCCATATTTTGAATGCCCGAGCTGAGGCAGGCTGAGGCCGAGGTAGGCTGAGGCCGAGGCAGGCTGAGGCTGAGGCTGAGGCTGAAGCTGAGGCAGGCTGAGGCTGAGGCTGAGGCAGGCTGAGGCTGAGGCAGGCTGAGGCTGAGGCTGACGCAGGCTGAGGCCGAGGCAGGCTGAGGCTGAGGCTGAGGCAGGCTGAGGCTGAGGCAGGCTGGGACTGAGGCTGAGGCAGGCTGAGGCTGAGGCCGAGGCTGAAGCAGGCTGAGGCTGACGGCTGAGGCAGGCTGAGGCTGAGGCTGAGGCCGAGGCAGGCTGAGGCTGAGGCTGAGGCAAGCCGAGGCAGGCTGAGGCTGACGCTGAAGCTGAGGCAGGTTGGGGCTGTGGCTGAGGCTGTGGCTGAGGCTGAGGCAGGCTGAGGCTGAGGCTGATGCAGGCTGAGGCTTAGGCAGGCTGAGGCTGAGGCTGAGGCAGGCTGAGGCTGAGGCTGAGACCGAGGCAGGCTGAGGCTGAGGCCCAGGCAAGCCGAGGCAGGCTGAGGCTGAGGCTGAGGCTGATGCTGAGGCAGGCTGAGGCTGAGACAGGGTGAGGCTGAGGCTGAGAGGCTGACGCTGAGACTGAGGCAGGCTGAGGCAGGCTGAGGCTGAGGCCGAGGCAGGCTCAGGCCGAGACAGGCTGAGGCTGAGACTGAGGCTGAGGCTGAGGATGAGTCCGAGGCAGGCCGAAGCTGAGACAAGGTGAGGCTGAATGGGGGGGGGAAGGGGGGGGAGGAGGGGAGGCTGAGGGCTGAGGCCGAGGCAGGCTGAGGCCGAGGCAGGCTGAGGCTGAGGCTGAGGCAAGCCGAGGCAGGCTGAGGCTGAGGCTGAGGCTGAGGCAGGCTGAGGCTGAGGCAGGCTGAGGCTGAGGCTGACGCAGGCTGAGGCCGAGGCAGGCTGAGGCAGGCTGAGGCTGAGGCCGAGGCAGGCTGAGGCTGAGGCTGAGGCAATCCCAGGCAGGCTGAGGCTCAGGCTGAAACTGAGGCAGGCTGAGGCATCCGTAGGAATCCATAGGAATCCTTAGGAATCCCTAGGAATCCTTAGAATCCGTAGGCATCCTTAGGAATCCGTAGGCATAGTTAAGCATCCTCAGGAATCCTTAGGGTTCCTTAGGATTCCTCCGGAATCCTTAGGAATTCCCTAGGAATCCCGATTTCTCAGGATTCCTAAGGATTCCTATGGATTCCTAAGGATGCCTAAGGATGCTTTAGGAATCCCTAGGAATCCTTAGGATTCCATTGGATCCTAAGGCCGTTGCCACTGCGACTGTCATTGCGAATGCGACTGCGACTGCGAGAAAAGCATAATTTTACAACTGGATTCTCACCTGAATCTTAAGGGGAATGCTTCCAGATATGCTTATACACATCGCTGTTGGGTTGCTTTGCCGGGATAATTGTTATCTCGACGGGTCCGGGCGCAGGTGAGAGTCGGGGGAGCGTAAGACCTGGGTCTGCCAGGACTCGGGTTCGCCATCGTTTTTTGACGACCGCGCCTCGGATTTTGACGAGGAGGAGTTTCGTGGGCTGTCTGCAGCGGGAGGCCTCGTCGAAATGCAGGCTCGACCTCGACGTGTCCGGGCGCAGGTGAGAGTCTTGGCGGGCTCCAGAGGGCAGTCCGCTCCCCGGGGGAGGCGGCGGCCCCGCGAGTGGCGACACTCCTCCCCTTTGGTATTGCCTGGTGGGTCTGGAGGAGGTGCTCTCACGCGGCTCTCGCGGGCCCACGAGCTCCTCCTCCTCCTCCTCCCTCCTCTCCTTCTCCTCCTCCTCCTCCTCCTCCTCCTCCTCCCTCCTCCTCCCTCCTCCTCCTCCTCCTCCTCCTCCTCCTCCTCCTCCCCCTCCCCCTCCTCGTCCTCCTCCTCCCTCTCCCTCCTCCTCCCTCCTCCTCCTCCTCCTCCTCCTCCTCCTCCTTCCTCCTCCTCCTCCTCCCTCCTCCTCCTCCTCCTCCTCCTCCTCCTCCTCCTCCTCCTCCTCCTCCTCCTCCTCCTCCTCCTCCTCCCCCTCCTCCTCCTCCTCCTCCTCCTCCTCCTCCCCCCCCTCCTCCTCCTCCCCTCCTCCTCCCTCCTCCTCCTCCACCCTTTCGGGATCATTGCCCTGCTCGACATCCGACTCTGCGAGTAGAGAGGGGATCTACGCCATGGTAAGGGATGGGAGGGAGGGGAGGATGTCAGATATGACTAGCTCGCGCGGCTCTCCGCCGGACGACGCGGCAGGGCCGCGCCGCCGGCCGGGAGGGCGGGCGCGGTGTCTCCAGCGGGAGGGGAAAAAACACACAGACACGACCAGTCGTCGACTCCCAGGAAGGGCATGAGGAAACAGGCGAAGGGGGGGGGGAAGACGAAGGCCCAGGGCAGGTTTGAAGCCATGGGGAGTCTGGGGCCGTTTGTGTCTGCTCACTCGTGTGTCCCAGGGCCCCTCGACTCCCCCGCTGCGGACGTCCATCGCCGCGGGCGTTTGTATATCCCTCGTCGCAGACGCGGCCTCGGCCCTCGACGCCCAGGCCTCGTGGGCAGCTGCTTCGTGCGCAGCCGCCTCGGAGCTCCGGGGGGGAGCACTGGGCCACGGGAGGCCACGACGAGAGGCCACGGCTTGCGACCAGAGGCCACGGGGCAGCACCCGACCGGCTGGGAAGGCATCTGGCTGGCTTGCTGACTTGATGACAGAGGCTCCCCGGGGCCGACGCGCACCCACGACTCTCCTCAAACAATTCGTCTGTAGGGATTCGATATTTACAGGGCAGTTGCTAATACATGGGATTCTTTGTTTAAAAACTATAGGATTTGTCATACCTGCTTGTTTTAAGAAAAAAATATGCATGAACGCATCGTTGTTTTTAATACGAACTCTATGCATGTTTAATACATGATCCGCACGCGGAACCTGTAGTGAAAACGGCACTGTACATACATATATACATATATATATATATGTATGTATATGTGTGTGTATGTATGTCTATATGTATGTACGGAGCCGTTTTTACTACATGTTCCGCGTGCGGATCATGTATTAAACATGCAGAGATTTAGTATTAAAAACAACGATGCGTTCATGCATTTTTTTCTTAAAGCAAGCATGTATGACACATCCTGTAGTTTTTTAAACAAAGAATCCCATGTATTAACAACTGCCCTGTAAATATCGAATCCCTGCAGACGAATTGTTTGAGGAGAGTCGTGGGTGCGCGTCGGCCCCGGGGAGCCTCTGTCATCAAGCCAGCCAGGGAGATATCCCATGGAGGTGGTGGCTGCAGCTCCGGCTGGGGTTCTGTTGCGTGGCGGCGTCGTCGTGCTGAGGCGCGTGCTGTCGGGAAGCCAGCGCCGTCTCCGTCGCCGGCACCACTGCGGCTTTCGCGGGAGGTCTTCTCAAGCTCATCTTCGGAGGGAGGAGAAGCGATACCAACACCACCAGGGGACCCACCTCCAGCGAGGAGGTCCAGGATGCCTCCCCGAGCTGGAGGCTGGGGATGTCTAGAGCGAGAGGGGGGCCACACCACCAGGGAGACCCCCCTTGCCTCCTCGCATCTCCTCGGCCTGGTGGTGTTGGTGTCGCCTTTCATTGTTCGTGTCATGTTGTCCGCGAGAGTGACGCGCGTCCGCGGGAGCTGCCGCCCATGTCATCACAGTCCTCGCCTGCTCTGATTGCACAGCTCGTGCCTTGTATCGTCGCAGTCCGCCGCTGTTCTGGCTCTTCCAGGCGCTTGGCCTCTGCGGTACCGTTTCCACTCTTCCCTTCAGTTGCACCTCAGTGCAGGCGCTCCCAGCGGCCAACACGTTGCTACCATCACCACCACGCGGGGAAGATTTCAGTATTTGTGTCTGCAGGTGCCGCTCGCCAAACTCATTAGTTGCAGCATCGTCGGTTTTGGACGCCGTCCCTTCAATCGAGCTTCTCATCATCGAATCGTGTCATCGCTTACCGATTCAAGGTCGGTCGTGGCGTTTTGCTCGCATCGCCAATCGACTGTTCCGTATCTACGATTTCTGGCTCCTGCGCCCTGTGTTGTTGCGTATCCTTGTCGACGCACACTTGTTTCGCACGAGGGCTTGACGTCGCTGACATTGACTCGTCGTTCGCTTCCAGGCTTTCTGCCGGGCCGTGGCTGGGCGTGCTTGTTGCCACATGTGTATTCGGCTCGACGCACTGGCCAGGACGATGTGTAGGAGCGAAACTCTCTCCTTTGCCAGCCGGGACGGTTTCAGATGGAGCAGAGGAAGTGCCTTTATGGCAGCGAGTTTGAGAATCAGCCTTGACTCCTACCAGGTGAAGTTGGAAGAAGGAAGATGAGGAAGAGTTCACGGAGGAAGAGGAGATATGAGGAGGAGGAGGAGGAGGAGGAGGAGGAGGAGGAGGAGGTGGGGGAGAAGGAGGAAGAGAGGGATGTCCAGAGTAAGCCCAGGATGCGTCAGTGATTTTGCAATGCACCCTCCCGTCCCAAAATCCCTCATCAGACGTCCCTGGGAGCCATCCTTCTCACAAGAAGCGTCTCCTTTAATGACGAGCGCACTATCAGCCTTCCATTCAGGCGAGAGTCCCGCTTTGTAAAACCTTCTTGTGCGTGTGTGTTGCCTCCTTCTCGCGACACATCGTGGGAGCGACAAGGTGGGATCATACAGCGCAATGGGATGTTAAGCGACGGCCCGCTGTGGAGCGGAGTCTCCCTGCATCCGTGTACTCGTTGCACGATCCAACATTTCTGTGTTCCAAATACAACTGTTGTTGAGGAGTTGCCCTCAACCCGTGCAGTTGTTATACACGCCATCCCGCTTGGTCGATGAAAGTGATGAATGTGTGGCCACATTTTGAACATCCGCCGTCTTTCATCCCTGTAGCTGGTGCAGGCTGTGAAGACGAACGTGTGCTGCGCTGCCCGGGGTCGCCCGCGAGCCCATCCTGCCCACGCCGCTGCCCGCTGGCCGCGGCGGCGCGCCTGGACAGATGGCGCCTGTGAGCGGCCAACGGACCCGCTCCTGGCAAGAGCAGGTTGGGAAGTGCGGCTCGAGGGCCCCAACGGCGCGCAGGACAGCAGCGGGCCCGTCGACGGGCCCCAGACGGCGCCGAGGGCGGAGCGGAGCTGACAGCCGCCCTGCATGCGCCGAGCCTCGCGGCGGGCCCCCCGTTTCGTCAGCAACGGGATCGCGGCGCTCTGGGCGGGGGCGTCCCTGGCGGAATGGGCGCACGCCGAGCTCTGGGAGATGCCGGCCCCCCACTTGCCAAAGCGGGAGCCTCGCCGCGCGGTGGGCCAAAGGGCACCTCGGCGCGGCCAGCGCCCCGGGCCTGCGGCGTGGCCTGCGACGACCGCTTTGGCAGCGCGGTTGCTGACCCGCTCTCGGGCGCTGCCGCTCGCGCGAGGCCCCCGCCGCCGGCCCTTGGCCACAGGGCGGGACAACCGCTTGCGCGCTCTGGGCATCGCGCAGCGGATGCTGGCCGAGGTGGAGTCCGCCGCGCTGAAGGCCAACCACAGCAGCGCGGGCGTGGCCCCGCGTCTGCGGGCCAACGCGCCAGCGCTGCGGCCGGCGGGGCGCGTTCGGTGCGCAGCCAGGCGCGCCGCCGCAGGGACCCAACCGCGGCCGCTGCCGTGCTGGCGCCGCCAGGCCACGCGCGCGGCGGCAACGGCAGGGCCCGGTGCGCCGCCTTGTTCGCCGGGCGGGCGTGGCTGCCGCACAATGCTGCGCAGGGCCCAGGTTGGGTGGTCTGTGTGCGCTGCGGGGCGTCTGCGCCCTCGTGGCCAGGGCTGGCGGCGTCGCCGTGCGCGGGCTGGGCCGCCGCGCTGCCGCCTCGGGCGGCAGCCTTGCTGCTGTTGCGCGTCGCCCAGGCTGGCGGGCGCTAGGCCGCCTGGCGCGAGGCGCTGCAGGCGCGCCTGGCGCAGCACCTTGCGCGAGGCCTGGGGCAGCGCCCGGGCCCGCCGGACTAATTCGTTCGTAGTTCGGGCACCCTGCGCGCAGGCTGCGTGCCTCCCGCCTCTCCCTTCGTTCGCCTCGCTCTGCCGCTGGGCTTCTTCGATGGGTAAATAAAAGCGCAGCGATGAGGCGAGCGCCCCATTTTGAAACCAGTCGCCGTCCACCCATGCTTCGAGCTTTCAAAATAAAGTGTGCGCGGCGCCTAGGCGAGTGCTCAAACATTAGAAGGAGCAGTTCTCCAGGCTTGGAGCTGGTGCAAACACTGAAGGCGAATGCGCGCGCCCCCCCCCGAGCGTTCCATTTTGAAAACGACCCCATCCATCCTAGCTCTTACGAGCTGGACGCGCGAATGTACACGACCAGGAGAGCCGCATCTTGACCCCCCCATCCAGCCTGGCAGCGGTTGCAAATGCGCAGAGGCGAGCGCCCCATCTTGAAAACGACCCAGTCTGCACCTCATGAAGGTTGGCGAGCTGTGGGTCTAGCCCTGGGGCGGATGGTGGCGTGGCGCGGGGGCCTCCGATGAGTGGCCCTCCAGACGCATTTCCCCCCCCCCCCCCCCCCGCCTCCCCCCCCCCCCCGTTTCCTCTCTCCCTCCCCCCCCGTCCCTCGCTTCGTCCTCGTCCTCATGCTCGTCCCCCTTGCCCCCCCGTCGTCGTCGTCGTAGTCCTCCTCACCCTCCTCCCCTCCTCCTCCTCCTCCTCCTCCTCCTTCTCCTTCTCCTTTTCCTCGTCCTCCCCCTCCTCTTCCATCCCCTCCTCCTCCTCCTCCTTCTCCTCCTCCTTTTCCTCCTCCTCCTCATCATCATCATCATCCTCTTCCTCCCTCTTCTCCTCCTCCTCCTCCTCCCCCTCCTCCTCCTCCTCCTCCTCCTCCTCCTCCTCCTCCTCCTCCTCCTCCTCCTCCTCCTCCTCCCCCTCCCCCGTGGGCGCGGTTTCCGCGGCCCCTCTCCAGGGTAGCCGTGCGAGGGCGCGAAGGCGAGCACGCTTCGCGCTTCCATCGGCGCTGGGCGAGCTGAGGCGGCCTGGGCTCTGCCACGGCGTGCTCGTTTGGCCCAATGGGCACTGGTGCCCTGTAGTCCCACATTGAGAGTCCCCTGTTTTTGTTCTTGTTGTTGTTGTTGTTGTTGTTGATGATGTTGATGTTGCTGTTGATGCTGATGTTGTAGTTGTTGTTGTTGATGGTGTTGATGATGTTGATGTTGATGTTGTTGTTGTTGTTGTTGTTGTTGTTGTTGTTGCTGTTGCTGTTGTTGTTGTTGTGGTTGTGGTTGTGGTTGTTGAACATTATTCCTTCTAAAGAATTATTATTGTTGGGACCCCTGGTGCGCGACCTCTGCGCCGCGCCTAGGCCGCAGCTGCATTTTCATATTTTTTTCGCGAAAGCTTCAGAAAAGTGGATGAGCTCCGGATCCGGTTTTTTGTTGACGCTCGTTTTCCCTTGCAAAAAACAATAGAAAATGAAAATTCTTGTTCTTACTTGATCAAATTGCAAGAATCCCTTGCAAAAAATAAGGTAAAGTGGACATTCGTGCGCGCAAGACGAAATCCTTCCAAAACCTTAGGTTTCGTAACGATTTTAACATAAAAACATCAAAAACCCAATGGTTTTTTAAGAAAAAATTGTCAAAATGTCCTTCCGCGCGCGCTGTCCGAATCCCACAAAACCAATGGTTTTTCAACATTTATGTTACATGAGCTCGCGCGAGCTACTTTTTCTTGTTCTAACATAATCAAATTTCAATAATCCCTTGCAAAAAATAAGGTAAAGTGGACATTCGCGCGCGCAAGACGAAATCCTTCCAGAACCTTAGGTTTCGTAACGATTTCAACATAAAAACATCAAAAACCCAATGGTTTTTCAAAAAAAAATGTCCAAATTTCATCCCGCGCGCGCTGTCCGACTCCCACAAAACCAATGGTTTTTCAACATTTATGTTACATGAGCTCGCGCGAGCTACTTTTTCTTGTTCTAACATAATCAAATTTCAATACTCCCTTGCAAAAAAAAGTAAAGTGGACATTCGCGCGCGCAAGACCAACAAAAAACACGACGATCTCAGGAACTTGCCCCAAAAATGTGACCAACTCCGCTCTCTCTGTCTCTCTCTCTGTCTGCTCTCTGTCTCTCTCTCTGTCTGTCTGTGTCATGTATTGTATGTCACAATTGCAGGATGCTGGGCACACGCGCGCCCCGAATAAGTGACCAAGTTCTGTGGGTGTGTACCCCACGCCAGTGTAGTAGCCACGGTCGTCCGCACGCCACGAAGTGAAGTGTCCCAACGTCATAGGGCGGGAAGCTGGGTTTGGGTGGTCGCGAAGAGTCGTTTGGATATTTGGTAGAGCTTGAACTGCCCCCCCACGAAGTGGGGGTATTGTCTCGCGTCGCATGAAAACCCTGGCACTGGTGAGAACACTGAGCGTTCGGGTAAAATGATTGTTGTTGTTGTTGTTGATGTTGTTGGTGTTGTTGTTGTTGTTGTTGCTGCTGCTGCTGTTGCGGTTGTTGTTGTTGTTAGTGTTAGTTCTAGTGTTAGTGTTAGTGTTCAATTGTTGTTGTTGTCGTTGTTGTTGTTGTTCTCTCTCTCTCTCATTGTTTCTCTGTTTCTCTGTCTCTGTCTCTCTTTCTCTCTTGGTGTCTCTCTCCCTCTCTCTCTCTCTGTATATCCCCCTCCCCTCCGAGAGTAGGAGGATCAGGACGAGGAGCACGGTATGGCAAGGCAACGTAATGTCGAGAGGAGAAGGGGTAGAATAGATAGTTATGTTATCGGTGTCCTTCTCCTCTCTCTCGCTATTTAGTTTCTTTCTGTTTTATTATATCTCTCTCTCTCCCTTTCTGAATCCAATGTTGTTTCTTTCCCCTCATCAGACGAAGGTGCACGAACAGCAACATGTTGTGGACGCGGCGGCCGTGGAGGAGGGAGT